TATCTTCTGTCGCCGGTCTCCATGTCCCACATGGACACTTCGTTGTTGCCCTGGGCAGCTGGGGGGACAAAGGCCAGAACCGTTACTCACACAGGAAAGCCCTAGCCTGGAAGCTTTCACCTCGGCAAATGATGCAGGCCCGCCTGCACGGGTCCTAGCTGCCGCAGCCAGTGCACGACGCTTCTGGGGATTTTAAACAACATCCAGGCTGTGGCCAGACTGGATGAGTACCCCCCCACACACACAAAAAAGTAACAGCCTCGCCCTAATTATCTACTGATCTGCAACCACGTGGAGAAAAGGCAAATCACAAACAGAAACATGCAGTGCAGAAATGAAGGGGGAAATGGTACCGCCTAACAGTGCACGCCTGGTTCCGGGGTGGGACACAAACACACACACACTGGAGGTTGCTTCGCAGAGAACAAAAGTGGGGAAAACTCTGCTTCACAGAACGAACTCACGTCCTAGGGAGGCCGGCTACACAAAACAAAAGGCCCTGAGTGGCAGGTGCTGGTTCATAGAGTAAGCGGGGCTAGTGCGGGGCCGAGCAGCGGGACAGAGTGCTCGGGCTGGTCACCAGGCCCCCATAGGCCACACCAGCAGGCTCTTGTGCCCTACAGTTTCTAGAAGGGATCCTGCTAAGAAAGGCTGCGTAGTGGCCCCTGAGATACTCGGCTCCTAATCTCTTTATCTGTGGTGTTCCCTTCCATGGCAACATGTAAGAGTGGCTTCGCAGATGTGAGTAAGAGTTTGGAGACAGCTCACCGTGGACTATCTATCTGGCTGAGCACTACTTACAGTCACCAGTGGCAGACTGGAGGAGCCGTGGACACACAAGAAAGGCAAGGTGCTAAGCCACAGGCTCTGCACATTCGGGAAGGGCAGGTGCCAAGGTCTGCGGCAGGAAGAGGCAAGGACCAGATGCTGACCTAGACCCTCCGAAGGGAGCCCAGTCTTGCTGATACCTTGATTTGGGTCCAGTGAAACCCATTTTGACTTTCTAACCACCGGTACTGTTAGTGCAGGAGAAAGATGGGGCTGTCTGCTCCTACTAAGACCGACAGTCTCAGAAGCCGACACAGGGTTGCCACAAGTCAGAACTGACTCCATGGTAGTGGGTTTGGGTCTGAGACCTATAAGAATACACTGGGGCTGTTCGATGCTACCAAACTTGCAGTTTGTAGTTTGCAGCAGTCGTGGCAAACGAATACAGACCTAGAGGGCAGATCACGGGAAGGTGACTATTCCAGGCTGCTTGGATGCCTCAACCCAAAACCACCACTCTTCCCAAAGGCCTGCTCTACTCAACTTCTTCTTTCCAAAGTTTAGTGACCATCCTCTCCCCTCCCCTCTTCTACTGCTTCTAGCCCCATGTTGTTGCACTGTCTTTTGTCAGGCCCCTACCCCCACAGCTTTGAAAACAGCTCCTTTGAAAAGGAATTCTCCTCAAATCACCCCAGCTTGAAGATGCCACGTGTTTCCTTTCTGAGGCTGGTTGATGATCACGGTCAGAGGGAGCCGGGGACAAGAACCTGGACTGCCTTTGGGGCGATAAAAGGAGCTTGGCTGTGAGGTTGGCTGACAAGCCACGGGAAGGCCTTGGACGGAGGACAGAAAGGGCAAAGGGAGAAGCAAGGAGTGCACAGTTGACGGCAGTACTAGAGCCACAGGTGAACTCGGGAAGTAGTGATGGAAACAGCAGGAAGTGATCGGATTCTCCAGATCCTCAGGCGGGAACCTACGGGCCTAACTGGCGGACTGCAAGTACGATGAGAGCTAAATCAGAGGCAGGGGTCCCGCTAGGCTTCTCGCCTGAGCACCCATGAGAGAGAGAGCTCCATGTGTCTCAAGTTAGGAGGTAGTAGTGGGCCACTGATAAAGAGGAAATAAAGGATTCGATCTACACATGTCAAGTTTAGATTAGAGGAGATTTTAATGTAAACCTAGAAGAGATTAAAGTAAACATGTTAGAGAAGATTTTTAAAGTAAACACAGAAGGGTAGGAATTCCAAGGGAGATGTCAAAGTCAGAAATAGAAGTTTGATATTTAAAGCAGGGGCTGGATGAGATCACTAAAGGGTTCAGCGTCGAAGGAGAAGCCGTTAGTTAAGACTACAAAGACTTACCCTGAGGCAGGCCAATTTTAAGTCTGAACTATAAATCCGTGAAATGGGAGAGCTAAGAGTGATACCCTTGAAATCAGATTAAAAAGGGACTTCAAAAGGACGGAAATGATCGACTGACCAAGTGGACGGTCAGCTAAGAGGAGAGGCCACTGCATTTGGCACACTGGTGGCCTCACTGGCAGCAGTGTGTGAAATGGACTGTGCGCATGAAAACAAACTAGAAAGATCCTCGTGGCGAGCAGACCCTACAAGGGCAACGAGAAGAACAAGAGCCATGGTTTCTGCGTCCCCATTGTGCGCCTGGCTGTGTACTCCCATGTTCATCTCAAAGCCCCACAACTCTGCAAAGGAAGTCTTTTAAATCACATTTTACAGATGAGGATCCATCCAAGTGTCTTGCCCAAGAATCTATACAAGAAAAGTTGAGTGCCCCATACGGCAGGGACATTCAAAACCTGGAGGAAGGTGTGCTTGGGAGAAACACCAGGAACAGATCAATCAGAAATGGCCATTGAGAAGGATGAATTCAGGTTTCAAACTTGGGTGGCTAGGAAAAGAGTTATAGGCTAACAAAAATAGAAGATGCAAGAAGAGAGAGGCGGAAGAGAGATGTGGGGGGACAGGTGGGAATGGAGCAGGGTGGTGGTGATGGATAAGACCACTGTAAAACATCCTAGCTATGAAATGCCACTCAGGTATCAGGGAGGGAACTTCTGTGATCAGAACACAGCGGACAGAAGCACTCAGCCCAAATGTCAAATTGAAAGCATAGAAACATCAGTGTCTTGAAAGCAGGATGGTACCTAGTTTCTATGAAAGCCCCATCATAGGACAGTAGCCTCTGTTTTACCTGCAATCACCCAGGACTGGTTCAGGGGGTGCATTGAGAGTCGCCTGATCCGAGCCCTGGAAGGGTGACAGTGACTGGAAATTGGCAACTGGAACCTCATGTCCCAACAGGCCATGGTCCCACTGCTGGTACCTGACAGAACAAGGGCACAAGTAAATGGTCATTCACTGGTCAAGGCTCATCAAGCAGCATCTATACAAATGGTAAGCAGCATCTACTTGAAGTGCTTGGAAGTTGCCTCAGTCACTTACAGAGAGGCTTTGCTTTCACGAGGCTGCACTCCCCAATTCCTAACAGCACAGCTGTAGTAATAACAAAGACACACAGTGCTTATCACAACGCTATTACAGAACTGCTCCACGAATGAAAATGAATAATTCATTAAGTGCTGGCCCTGTTATTAATTGCTAAAGGTGCCCACAAAGACAGCCACACCAGAGAGAGCAGCTGGATCTGGCAAGGCAAATGCTCAGGCTGCGGCAGACAGCACTCAGCGGATCACTGGGCTGTCCCAGAGAAGCAGCGGCTTTGCTGGTATCACTCCTCTTCCATTGTTTCTGGGGTGCTCTCCTCCCAGGAGCCCTAGTGGTGTTGTGGTTAGGCTGCTAACTTAGAGCAGCTGTCTAAAACCACCAGCCGCTCCACAGGAGAAAGGCGGGGCTTTTTATGCCCATAAAGAGTTACAGTCTTAGCGACTCGCTGGGGTAGTGCCCCCCTGTCCTGGAGGGCCGCTGTGAGTCGCATCAGCTCAATGGCAGTGAGTCTGATTTGGTCTGGGTTCTCCTCTGAGATTCCTGGGGACCAGTATGGGTGTGCACTTGGACAGCAAAAACGGGGCAGTGCCTGGTACGCATGTGCCAGTGATCGCTCAAACCCCCTTTTCGTCCAGAAGAAAAACGCCTGCTCCAACACTGGCAGCTTGTCATGAGAGAAGCAGGAGAAGATTCTTGGAGAGGCTCTGATTCCAGTGGCAAGGTGAGGATAGGAAAAGGCCCAAGGCCCGGCGGGATCCTTCGCTTCTTACCGCGTCACCCTCCACACCAGGGGGCCACAGCCACAGGGAGCCCTGGCTGCACTCCTCACAAACTGATCAAGACGCCTAAGAGGCATCAACGGGGCCTACACGTTTGCTAAGGGTGAACTATTGACCCTCTGTGCCCCACAGTACATCTTCCTGACCTGAGCAGTGTATTCACATAAAAGGCAAAAAATAACGCATTCCGTCTAAAAAGCAATCAAGAGCCAGTAACACTGTCAGTAGCACAAGGGAGGGAAATCTGGAAACACAAATGTCAGCACCAGACCAAAACACTCAACTCCCTGCCACCGAGTCAATGCAGACTCCCGGCTCCTGTAAGAGCTCAAATCCCTCGTGGGGAAAACTTTGAAATTAAACCCAGAGGAAATAAGCAAACAGGACCACACAGTGCATCCTTAGCCTCTAAGGTAGTGTGACGGCCAGCGGTAGCAGGCAAGAAATTGTGGTTCTAGTCCTCTCCCAGACTGGGTACATGATCACGCTTCAACTCTTAAGTCCTCCAAGCAGTCCTTGAAAGGAGTAGCTCCCAGCGAGGCAACTAGGACCCAGCGGTGTTAGGTGGCTTGCCTGAGGTGACGGGACTTAAAAGTCTGTCTACCCAAACTCAAATGCCGCTTTCCCGAAGGCAAGCCAACTGGTTCCCTGGCAGAGGAAGACAAAGGCAGCCAACCTGATCGTCATAGTGGTGAGAAAGAGAAGTGGCTCACATCAAATTAAGGAAAAGGAAGAAACGGTTTCATGACTTCAGATACTGGTTACACCCTCTCACGTCTGCCTTTTCATTAAAAATTAATTACAAGTGATTATAACTATTGCAGAGGGGGCGGAGATAAGGAATGGAGGGAGGATAACCAATAAGAAAAAGAACACTGGCCACTCCAGTCCTGGTGAGGGGCCTGAAAGGCAGCTTACCAATGCAGAGCCAGCACTGGTGGATGTCCACAGCAAAGGAAGTGATGAGGCCCAACTTCAAATCGTGCTTTAACACCCACGCATCGCTTGAAGACCGCAGGTCCCAGCCAACCAGGGAGCCGTTCACTGTGGCGTAAGCTAGAACCGACTGCGCCCCAGAGTTGAAGTGATGCATGTCCACGACGCAGCCGTCCTCCTTCTGATCCAGAGTTCTAGACAAAGACACGAGGCGAGAGGCAACGGCTTTGCCAGCCACCGAAAACAGGGCGCCGGTTTTCATTGACGATAAATGTATATGCCATGCCTGGTCAGGAAATTAAAAGCACTGCCACCCATCTAGCTGAGACGTTGTTAACGTCCTATGAGATTTATAGGCGAGTAGCAAAAACCTTACGGAATGTTTCCTCGTGCCCTTCGCCCACCTTCCCTTCATGTTACCAATTTACAGAACCAGAAAACAACGATCAAAACTAAAATCTACTCTTCATACGACACGAGAACGCAGAGCACACTCCGTTTTTCTACTAGTATTCCTTCTCTCTATCCAAGATCCAATCCAGGAGCACATGGGATTGAGCTGCCAGGTATCCTCAGACCCCTCCCGTCTGTGACAGCTCAGTCTTTCACAATGGAGATTTTTGAAGACTGCCAGTTCCTGAATGGGTGGCCTGTTCGCCCGATTTGTATTTGTGTGCTTTCCTGTGATTGGCCTGAGGTATGCCTTCGTGGGATGCAGGTCATGAGGCGGGTACACATCGTACTAATCGGCATGACTGCTGACGTTTCACTCTGCTCATCTGGCTACCGTGGTATCTGCTTGGACTGTGTTTTGCCCTCAGGACGTGGGGGAAATACTTCTGAGACTAGAAACCTCCCTCTTCTGCTAACCATCCATCCATCTGCCAGGTAATTTGAGCACCATTGAGGAGCCATGCCTGCGCCAATGATTACGCTGCTATTCTACTGGTGGTGCTCTGATCCCCATTCCTTCTGCACTTAGCAGAATCCTCTGTGAAGGAGCTGTCCCTTCTTCCCCATTAGGGTATTCGTTCAGTTACTAATTTGTACCAGTATATGCTAATGAACACATACTGTACTCTTGGATTATAATCCACGGCTGTTTTGTTGCTGTTGCTAAGCAAAGCGAACACAACTCTGGCCACTGTGAGCTCTTTCAGCATGGTTCCTAGCTCTCCAAGAGATGCTCCAGACTTACCTTTTCAATTTCTCTTTCCCAGGCCTAGAAACCCCAAGTTTCCAAGAAGTCCCAATTCCTTTTGGGGGGAGAATGATATTTAAATCAAGATCTGGCCACCAGGATTATTTCATTGATACAGCAGTATCCTTGCTTCCAACCACTCTCAGATAGATTTAGGAAATACATATATGATTTCCTGTATGCACATACATGTATATTTATTTTATGCATATACCTTTGTGTATATAAATGTATAAGTAGTCTCTAAATTATGCACAAGTTCCACAATCAAAGCCTATCTTTAAATTCTATGTGTATAGAAGTCTTAACAGTTAGGAACAGTTTGTGCCATCAGGTAAATCTTTTGTCTTAGTATGTGATAGCATACCTTTCTCTAAACGAAAGGCACTAAAGAAACACTTTCAGATACACTAAGGCATCTTTACTATAACAATAAACATAGTAATAATAATACTGTTTTTATGTGTGCCATAAAGTAGTACCCATTATAAATCATGGTTACTACAAACCATGTACGAGGGTCTTCAGAAAGTTCATGGGAATATTCCGTTATCTTTCAATTCCATTTTCCCATGAACTTTTTGAAGTTTCTTCATATGTGCCTTGCATTTCTAATGGGATTTATAGATGTTGGTAACACAGGGACAGTGTGCGTGTGTGTGCATATATACATGCTTATGTTGTGTACGTATGTGTATACACTGCCAAACACACTACCACCAACTCATATCTGGTTCGTAGTAACCCTAGAGCACAGCACTGCCCCTGTGGGTTTCTGAGACTAACTCCTTACCGGAGTACAAAGCCTCGTCTTTTCCCTGAAGAATGGCTTGATGGTACTGAACTGTTAAGTCTGTGGTCAGCAGCCTAATGCTTAACTCACGACGCCACCAGTGCCCCTTTGCATAGATGCTAAAATCGTCACAAAGCCGGCTACAAAACTATAGAAGCCTTTAAAAGTAAGCACAGATATCAACATGTGAACTTACTCTTTCCCAGCCTTCCTCTCCATCTAGGGTCACACTTCTGGAGGCAGCACTGCCTTCTCTGAACCTTTCCCAAACACTGCTGCGCTCTGGGTCTTGGATCACATCAGAACAGCAGTTTGGGCATCCTGAAGGACTCAGACTGTTTCTTTCAAACGTTCGGTGAGTTTAAGGGACAAAGAGAAGTCTGAAGGGACAAGATGTGGCTGCAAGTAGATGGTAAAGGTTTTCCAACGACACTGTCCTAGGAAAACGCCCCATGAATAAGACACAGGTACACGGTCATGACAGAAAGAAATCCACCTCTCTTGACCTATCTCACGACCGCAAAACTTCATAATAAGCCCCCGGTTTAAACCCTAAAAGAGAAAATGAGAAAGCACGCTGGCTGGCCTACATAATCAGTGTGTAGATAGCATGCATCTGCACAGAGTGGTTTTCGTTTTATCTCTTAGCTCAGGAGGAGGCAAACGTTTTCAGTGAAGAGCTGAGTGATAAATATTTTTGATTTTGCATGTCAGACATCTTGGTTGCATATTCTTCTTCATTTGTGATGCTATTTTTTAGAAATGGTAAATTTTTCTTAGTCGATGTACCGTACTATGCAGGCTCTATTTGCAGGGCCCTGTCTTCAGTAAACACTTAAACATTCTAACTCTGACAAGACTCCCTCTAGAGGGGTCATGAAAAGCCCATGTGTAAAGGAAAATGTGAACAGTTCTACGGATTCTGATTATTAAGAAGAGCCAGCTCAATGGGACCACACAGCTAATCCAGTTCAATGGGACCGCAAAGAGACTTAAGCATGGTTGGTTTCTTGGGAGCTCGCTGCTGTCAGACAGAATGAAATCGACGTACTCTATGCACCGTGGCACCATCTCCCAATCTCGGTAGTCAACGTTTGCTCAGACAGGAACATTCACAGAAAGAGAAGCTGCTGCTCGGAGGGACCGGTGCACGAAATGTGCCCGTCTGTGAGTCCTGCCAGCGCAGTCACTGCACACGCTCTCAGCAGCTCCTTGTTAACTGACAAGGACCCAAAGGTCATATGCCTGTACTGCCGCCTCGGAGCAAATAGGCTTATAAGAAAACGCACAAGGATAAAGGACATAATCTAACATATTTTGGGGAAAACCTGCCCAAATATTTTCTGAGTGTGTTGGAAATACCTATTTTTAAATATTAATTTTAAACAAAGACAGACAAAATACCCAACAAACATCTCCTGCGTATCTTAGCCGCCCAATGGCCAAGAGTGACTGACCCACTAAAGCTACCAGCATCTCCTTGCCCTGCTTTCTTCCTCTGGGCTCCCTGCCTGACCACCTGCTTTGGCTGCCAAACTCCAGCCTGGCCGCGTCTTTCCAGGCCTTCTTCCCAATCCCTTCTGTAGACCCCATAGCGTGGCACATTCCCACCGGGCACTGGGTTCTTGGGTCTCTTGCTTTGTGATGGTCAGACCCGGGTACAGATGCCTTAGCCAGTTCCCTGCTTCAGCTGGCAAGGCTCACTTCCCGCAAGACATCCCTGAGGAGAAGCCACGTGGACCTACCCCAATATCTCTTCCACTAGACTTCAGTTTCAAGAAAGTATAACGTATCTTGTTTGTCTTTGAAATCCTCAGAGTCTAGCATGTATCGGTCAGCTGAAAAACTTATGCTTTCTTTGCCTTAGATATCTTGCCCTATAGGTTCTTGGCTGTAAGCAACCATAATTTGTAATAAGTGAAAGGAATTCTAAATAAAAACAGCTAGTGTTTCATTTTTACAATGATATGATAAGACCAACTATCTTTCTAAAAGCTCGCTCTGTGTTCCCATCAATTTTCGCGGCTTTAATGCCAAGTGGCAGAATGCTGACAATGCAGGATTTCTTAATGAAGAACATTCACATTCTAAACACCGGCCGGACAGAACTGTGCTCTTAGTAATTTAAAAAGAAGATGTAACTGATAATTAGGTTATTTTGACAGATTCCAGACTGGGATGAGCACAGGCTTGGAGCTGCCCTTCTGACCTTTGACAAATTGGCAGGATATAAAACACTTAGATGTAATTTGTTGAAACTAACGAGCTGTGATTTTTCTGTGTGTGCTGAAATTACAGCATTATTTATTTCATGTGCTTAAGAAAAGAACACCCAACCAAAACAAATCCTGGCCAAGACAGCTTCAACGGCAAATCCTACAAATCAGCAAAATGGGAAAAGAGCAAAAATTCTTCATGATAATGAAATGCACACATACAAAAACAACAGCCAACATCACTCTCATTGGAGAGCCTGAAAACAATCTCCTTACAAACAGGAGTCAGACAAGGTAGCCTTTTATCACCACCACTATTAAATTCAGTACTGAAAAGTCCAAACCAAAAGCAATTAGGCAAAAAAGGGTGTGTTAGTCTGGGTACATTAGAGAAACAAATCCACAGAAACTCATGTATAAGAGAGAGTTTTATATAAAGGGTAAGTGCACATCAAGAAAACATCCCAACCCAGTGCTGCCCAAGCCCACAAGTCCAACATTAACCCATATGTCCCACACCAATCTACAAAGTCCTCCTCCATCTCACAAAACACACACAATGATGCCAACTGCAGGAGGAAAGCAGAGTCAGTGAACGTGTAAACATCTCAGCACTGGCAGGGGTCTCCACATGGCTGTTCCAGCACCCAAGGCTGCATCGGGGTTGGTCCATGTGGTTTCTCCTCAGGGATGTCTTGCAGGAAGTGAGCCTTGCCAGCTGAAGCAGAGAACTGGCTAAAGCAGCTGCACCCTGGTCCGACCATCACAAAGCAAGAGACCCAAGAACTCAAAAGGCGAGGCTCACTGAGCCATTTATCTCTCCGCCCTACAATTAATCCCAAATGTGTTTATCGGCCAGGTTGGCACGATAAACTTTAACTATCTCAAAGGGGAATAAATAAAAGGCATCAAAAATGACAAAGCAGAAGTGAAACTCTATTTTCAGATGCTAAGATCCTCATTCGTAGAAAATTCTGAGACTAAACAAGAAAACTGCTGGGAACTAGTAAGATTTTGCCAAACTAAAAGGATTTTGCAAAGTGGCAGGATACAAGAGCCTACAAAAATTAGATTCTTTTATTAACAGAGATGATTCTGAGAAGGAAATCAGTAAAACAATACAATTTATAATAGCCACCCAAAAGATGAAATAGTTACAGACAAATACAACCAGACAGTACAAAGAAAACTAAAATACCATGAGAATTATATAAATAAAACACAAATTTCAAAAATGTATATTATATAATAATGGTATTAATAATAAAAACAGAATCAAAGAATTTTAAAAGAGAGAGAACTATATATATAGGAAAAAAAAGATCATGCTGAAGGACAGACAGACTTAACATTATGAATATGCCAATACTACTCAAAGCGATCTACAGATGGAGGGTAATCCAGATTCCCTTTAAAGGGATGGAAAAACTAATCACCAAATTTAATCAGAAAGGAAAGAGACACTTGATAAGCAAAGCACTTCTAAAAAAGACAAAGTAGGAGGTGACTTCAGTCCCCAATCTCAACACCTATTACCCAGCCTTGGTAGTGCAAACAGCCCGGCACTGCTCCAATGACAGCCACAGAGAACAATGGTTGTGGCAGTTACATCATCTCCTATTCACTTGAGGGAAGGGGTGGAGTCTAGCCTGTCAATCAGGCCATAGCCAATGATGCCTCTGTGTGGGCACGCCTTCTGAGGACTCTGGGAAGTCCTGCCTCCCTCCCTGGAAGCTGGACACACACTCTCTCTGCTTCACCTTCCTGTGGAGCCACACTGATGGCAGCCAGAGCCCTGGAGATGCTTCCACTGCCCCTGGATCCACAGCACTTTCCACCCACTGTCCTGTGAGCTTCTTGCATTCGGCATCATTGCATGTGTTGTTTGAGTCTGAAGAGGAATTTATGGACTAGTACCAAACATATGGGCTAATATCGGATGTGGAGACTTAATCTGGACTGGGCTGAGATGGTATTCTCAATATACAATTGCTTTTTTATATAAAGCTCTTTCTTATACACATGAGTGCCTATGAATGTGTTTCACTCAACCCAGAATAACATACTGATATAGAATTGAGAATCCAGCAGTCAACCCATCCACCTATCTTTAACAAAGGGCTCTTTAACAAATGTTCCTGGCAATTTGCCAAGTTGGATATCCAGGTACAGAAGAATGAAACAAAATCCCTCTCTCTCACCATATTAAAAAAAAACTAATTCAAGATGCATCAAAGGACCTAAATCAGTGGTTCTCAACCTTCCTAATGTCACGACCCTTTAATAAAGTTCCTTATGTGTGGTGACCCCCCCAACCATAAAATTATGTTCCTTGCTACTTCATCACTGTCATTTTGCTGCTGTTATGAATTGGGTGACCCCTGTGAAAGGGTTATTTGACCCCCAAAGGGGTCGCAACCCACAGGTTGAGAACCACTGTGCTAAGTGAAGGTGTGCAGAGACTGGAACCCTCACACACTGCTGGTGGGACTGTAAAATGATGCAACGGTGGAAACATTATAGAACATCTTTGAAGAGTTAGAAATACCAAAAGGCCTCCTACTAGGTATATGTCCTACAGAAATCAGAGACGTGGCATGCATATACATACACCCATGTTCACTACAACAGCAAAAAGATGGAAGCCATCTAAGGGCCTACCAATGGATGAATAACAGTACCAACACAGAAAGGAACACTACAGGACATGCTGAGTAAAATAAGCCAACCAAAGGACAAATACTGAATGAGATCACGACTGTAAAACTCAAGTTTACACAGAGAAGGAAACGTTCTTTGAGGTTCACCAGAGGTGACAGGAAAAGGGAGGATAAATCATAAAAGAAGCCACTAGGAAAAACAAGAATTAGAGATAACAAAGTGAATACTTTCACATTCACACTTACGCAATAACAATGATGTGGTAGATATATAATCATTTGTCACTTTGAGGATTAAGAGTGTAGGGGTGGAGTCTAGCTTGTCAATCAGATCATAGCCAATGAGGCCTCTGTGTGGGCGTGGCCTTCCGAGAATTCTGGGAAATCCGGTACTTCCTCCTTAGAGGTGGGAGACACTTTTCTCTCTCTGCCACTCCCTGGGAGACATTGCAGCTGACAAGATACATGGAACTAAGCTGGTGCCCTAAGTTGGAGAAGATACATGGATCTACCCTAATGCAACCAGACCTCCGAAGCCGGAGAAGCCACGTAGAGACCCCTGCCGGCGCTGAGATGCTCACAACGTCACTGGATCCAAAGACTTTCTACCCACTGGCCTGTGATCATCCTGCACTCGGCATCATTTCATGTGTTTCGTGAGTCTGAAGAGAACTTTATAGATTGGTATCAGACATATGGGCTAGTACCGGACTTAAGGACTTGGACTGGACTGGGTTGGGATGCTTTCTCCATGTTCAATTCTTGTATATATAAATCTCTTTCTTAGACACATATGTGCGTCCATGGATTTGTTTCTCTAGTCTACCCAGACTAACACAAATAATAACAATAAGCTCTAAGTGGATATATAACAGACAGACATGCAAACTTGGCAGGTGTGTATGGAGAATAGTATTACATCCAGGAACAAGTATAAGCTTGACAGAAGATACTTCTATATATGCATTTATATGTGCTGCAAATACATCCATGATGTACAAAACATATCAAAGGCAAAGTTATGAAAACTTGTTGGCCATAACCAAACTTCTGGAGGGAATGAGGAGCTGAGGAACACAGTCTTAGGGGCATGGCCAAATGGGGTAACAGAGTCTACAGAGACAATGTTTCACATCCTGTCTTGGTGAGTGGTGACTGAATCTTAAAAACGTGTAGGCGGTCATCCAGAGTGCAATTATTGGTCCCTCCCCATCCAAAGCAAACAGATGGATGAAGAAAAATCAATGGCATATGGAAATAATTAGTCCACAAGCATCAGCCTCCAAGATCCGCAGACCAAGGGAGATGGTGCCCAGCTACGATCCCTGAACCCTCTGCAAGGGATTGTAAGAGGCGTTCTAGATGGAGTGAGGGGAAATGTGGAACAAGACACAATACCACAAGAATACCCAGGCGTACTGACCTCGTCGAGACTGGCAGAGCCTCTGAGGCAATGGCCCTTAACTCTGTGTGTCTCGAACTGAACCCTCTCCTTGGCTCAATTTTCAAATGGACAGGAGATAAATACGGTGAACAGTAACACCAGGAAATTGGGCCTCCTTGGAGTAAGTGACTGCATCCACCCCCTTAGAACAGTCAACCACAGAAGGTCAGAAGGGCAGCATCTGCCCAGAGGTAAGCTCAGGGACAGCTCAGGTAAAGCAAGGGATGGATGAGTGGAAACAGGAAACACAGGGGAAATAGGACAGCTGGGCTACATCATGGAAACAGCAGTCAGTGCTGTGAAACACCATGTGTCGGAATGGAAAACTTACTTGTTCTGTAGCCTTTCCCCCAAATCACAAGCAAAAATTACAATAAAAAGTACAATGTAAGGCGCTCAGGTTGATCCAAACGACACCTCATGCAAGGGGAGAGGAGACTGAACCGCTATGGCGCGTCACATGCAAAGGCTTTGAGTGATGAAAGCTCGGTACATACCTGCTTTGGATGGGATGAATTTTAGGAGACTTGGGAAGCTTGGAAGCCTCGATCCCGAGAAGCTGGACGGCGCCATTGTCCGATGCGATGGCTAAGTAGTGGGAGCCCTGGCAGAAAGTGAGCGTCTTGACAGGGCCCCCAATCCGGCTGTATGTCAGAATAGATCTGGAAGAAAGGAAAGGAAGATTTCATGTCAGAAAGCCACAAGTGCAGTGCTACTGATTACAATGTTAATACTTTAAAGTTCATTTTATCACCCTAGCCTCAAGACAAAATCAAGACTCTCCCTCTCAGAAGTACTGTTACCAAATCACCTTTTCGCCTGATCTTGCAAATGGCCATGTTAACACTCTATAGTTTGTCGAAGAAAGAAGACTATCGGTCCCGCTTTCTAACTGGACTCCCAAACTGTACTTCCGATCCAGTTCTCCTCGTCAGCTTTTTAATGCTCTAAATCCTTAGTCTTACACCCTCCAGCCACTCCACCCTTCCTTCCAAACACTCAGGCTGGCAGCACCTGAAATGCACAGGCTCGGAATCAGAGGTTTGAATTTGGCTACTCTCTGAGTGATCTAGGTCAAGCCACGTAACCTGTTCTGGGCCTTATTTGTTCATAAAACACAGATTGTTTTACTTATTTAAATGGGTTACACCATGAAGGTTACTTATATCATAAAGTATCCATGAATGCAAAATTTTACATTCAGTCTCTCCCATACACCATTAGGGACTCTTACTCTGACCTTTCCATTGTTCTCCTTTACACTCACTATCAAACACAAACACGACAATCTATACCAGGTGCCTCCCATTATCACCAGTTCCCTCGGCACTGTCCTCCACCCTGACCACTGAGTGGTCATACCTCTACAGGTCCCAAACCCCTAACGCCAAGTCTACTCTATTAATCCATCCTTAGGAAGTTATTTCACACTGTTACTCCAGTGAATACATATTGAATGCTCAAATACTATTAAACTACAGAATGCAGAAAAAGTCCAATCATTTATAATTCTAGCACCCAGAGGGAAACACTATGAACATTTTACTATATATTCTTCCCAAGGGTTAACTATGCATATTACACACATAGATCCTTGCTTGTTAATGTGGGATCTTTATTTGCTTTTTAAATATGGACCTCGCTCTGGTTTACCTTTTTTTTAAATAATAACTTTACTGAGCTACAATTCAAATACCATAAAATATGCAAAATTCAGTGAACTGAATGGACAGTGAAACTTGCAAAAGCCAGAACCAGTATAAGAAAGAGACCCGTTGGAGAAGGGAAAGTCCCTGGGTGTTTACGAGGGAGGGAGTGGTGCAAGTGGGAAAACTGCACCGTCAAAGGCGAACCCTGGGAGACCCAGAGAAGAAGGCGGTGAGCTCCAGCTCTCCCAGGCTTCACTGTTCGAGCAGAGATCACCACCGCCAAATTCCAGAACATTTCCATCAGCCTCACAAGAAACCTAGCCCATGCCTACTTACATTCACTCCCTTTCTTCCCAGTCCCTGGGAAAAGCTAGACTACTTTCATTTTCTATGGATTTGCCTGTTCTGGGCATTTAAAAAAGTTGGAATCATACAATATGTGACCTTTGGGTCTGGCTCGTTTTCACTTGACACGATTTCAAGGTCAATCCATGGTCTAGCATAGTTCACGACTTCATTCCTTTGTATGCGTGAGTAATACTGTATTATATGGATATAACACGGCGGTGTCTTTCCATCAGCAGATGGATATTGTGGCTTCCATGCTTCGGTTACGTATTAGTCCCAACTGGGAACGCCTCCTGGGGCAGTGGCACTCAACACAATGGCTGCCATTACTACTGGCAAGTGCCTGTGGGTACGGCTTTTCTCCCACAACCAGCCATGCGTAGGTCAGATGACGAGAGTCTGAGAAGGAGCTACCACACACCAAACGGAGGCACGCTGAGGCTATGGGGACTGCCAAAACTAGATGATCCCTCTAGTGGCTGGTCTATAAAAAAGCAAAAAACCACCGTCCTCCAGGCTCTCCTGACTCAGCCACAGAAGGGAACAGCAGAAATGCTCCCCCACCGGGTTTCCCCACCGGGTTTCCAAGGCCGTTCCTTCAAAGAAGCAAACTGTCGCAGCTTTTTCTTGCGAAGCAGCGGGTGGGTTCTAACTGGTGACCTTTAGGTTCGCAGCCAAGCGCTTCAACTACTGCACCACCAAGGCTGGCCAGTGCCTACTGCTGTTGTTGTTGGGTGCCATTGGGTCTGTTCCAACTCAATGGACAACAGCAGGCAACACTGTCCAGGCCTGAGCCAGCCCTGCAACTGCTCCTTTGCTTAAACCCACTGTTGCTGTCCTTGCCAATCCGTCTAGTACTCAAGCACCAACTGTCATGGTTGTGGGTGCTGGTTATCAAGGCACTAGCTTCGGGGGAAAGGAGGTAAGTTTGGTGCACCCCTCAAGGACCTGGGGTGGGACTATGGTTCCGCAGAGATTTAGTTCTTTTTCCTGAATAAAACTCTTTGGATTGTTGGGACCCTTTACCAAATTTCCCAAGTCCTGGAACAGTTGATTTTGACAAGGTTTGTCAGTACTCTCATTTCAGAAAAACGAAGAGCTAATCCTCAGAGGGCTAAGGGAAAGTTTGACTGAAAAAAGACAGATGAACATGGGAGAACCAAGAGGCCTAAACCACTATTTATAATTCGCCGAGAAAGTCAGACCTGGGAGCTGGCTGGTCAGCCATGAGAATGCAAGCAGGAAGGGCCTCAGGGGTCAGAGTGCACTAGACTGGAGAGCATTTCCCAAAGGGGGTGGCAACATCACCCTAGATGGGGCCAGAATGATCCAAAACCAAAATCAATGCCAACCCAGTTGATTCTGGCCCACAGCAACCCTATATAGAACAAAGAACGGCTCCTGTGGGTGTCTGAGACTGTAAATCTTTGCAGGTATAGAAAGCCTCTTCTTTCTCGAGTGGGGTGGCTAGTGGTTTCAAACTACTGACCTTGTGGTTAGCAGCCCAATGTGCAACCCATCACTACCACCATGTTCCACTGACTCAGGGGGATTGCAAAAGCAGATACTGACGCTTTAGTTACCCTGGATTGGGTGCTATAGTGTACATAGCTTTTAGTTGCTTAGGGAGTAGGAGGAGGTGCTGACTTATTCATGGTTTCTTTCGTTCTGAAAAGAAGGCGGTAGGTAAAATAAGTTTGGGAACTTGTTAGAGTAACATCTCCTGGAAAGAAACATTCATTTTGCTGCTCTTACCCTGCCACCCACAGTAATGGTATCCCTTTTCTCTCCTCAGCCATGAAGACGTGATGAGGGCAACCCACCTCCCTGCTCCTCACCCTGGGCTTGAGAGAAAACCTCCAAGTCAAGGCCCACTGCCTTCCCCCGTCAGAGGACCGATCTCCTGACCCGCACTTCCCAGAGATGATACAGCTAAATTAACAACATTTCTGAGGCTGCACTGTCTGAAAAGCGACACTGGGAGACAACAGCACAGCTCTCTAACAAGAATCACGTGGGAGTTTATCACATGGGGGCACATGTGTAAAGCTTCCTCCTGTTAATGTCCCATATCCTTCTAATAAAAAGGATCATGAATAAAGAACCACTTAGGGTTATGTGGGTGAGGGGGGGTGGTAAACGGGCAGGGGTTACATCCTGGTGCTACGGTCATGTTCTAGAGCTTCATGGGGTTCGACGACAGAACTTGTTGGAATTCATGGAAGGGTTCACTCAGGATTTGTGGAGCTCACAGCAAATAAATTTTAGGTCTAAAGGGGGGAAAAGAACCATAAAGAAATATTGAAAGTGAACTGATATCTGCAGCTCACTTTGAAATGCATCCAAAATAAATAACATAGACTGAGAGGGGAAGGCATAAACGAGTGACTACATGATATAGCGAATATGAAAAACTTATTATAGAACCTGAGCGGCAAATATACAGATATTCTCTAGAGAACAAAAAAATCTACTTTTCTTGTATTGAAAATTTCACAATACCATATTGGCAAAAAAATTTAAACCAACCTGTTCATTGGTTTTTGATTTCTGTTCTGAACAATGCAATGCCGAGAGAGAATGAATACGAAAACAGCAATTATACAGTGTGAGAACTGTCTTTCTTTAAAACAAACAGCACAAAATCTAGCAGCGAACACAAAATCTTCAAACTACAGAGTATCATTCATAACTAAAATAATTTATACGTGTACTCCTTCCTTACAGACCTCAATAATGGAAGGTGTGCTGGTGGCAGAGTGGGTTCTAAGTTAGGCTGCCAACTGCGAGGTCCGCAGTTCAAACACACTAGCTGCCCTGTGGGAGGAAAGATAAGTCTCTGCTCCCGTAAAGCTCGGTGCATTTGGAAACCCACAGCGGCAGTTCTACTCTGTCCTACAGGGTGGCGGTGAGCAGGGCTGGATTAGTTGACAGTGAGCTGCGACACCATCTCGCCTGAACGATGACTAACAGTCTGAGCGTGTCCTGGCCCTACTTCTGTCTATGCTCAACCCAACAACCAGAGCAACTCTGTGAAGCTAACACGGCATGTCTCGCCTCCATTCCGTACCCTCCAAAGGGGCCCCAGCCCCTGCCCAGCCTAAAAGCCAAGGTCCTTCAAGGTCTTTAAGCCCCCAACTAATCTTCTCCCTCTTCCTCCCTCCTTGTCCACTCTGTCCCAGCCATTCAGGTCTTGCTGCTTCCCGGGGGCCAACCTCTTTCCGCCTTTCTGCTTCCTGGGTCCTCTGCCTAAAATGTTCTTCCCCTAGACAGCACATTCTCTTGCCCTCAGGTTTTTAGTCTTTCCTCAGATATCATTTTCTCTGTGAGGAATTCTTCTGGCCAACTTATTTAAATGTCGCCATCTCCTACCACTGTTGCATTTCCCATCTCCTTTCCTACTCTACTGTCGCCCATGATGTCCTCACGAGCTGACACGTGATACAGTTTACTTATATATAATGTGTATTGGCTGTCACCTCCCACTCAAATGTAAGCTCCATGGAGAGGGGTTTCTGTCCACTCATCACCGGTGTATCCTTGACACCGAGCCCATGCCTACCAGAGCCAGTACTCAGGAAGTATCTGGTGACTGGATGAGTGGAGGACTGAGTGGACCCCTCGGGTGCACGCTACCTGGTAGTGGTGGTCTTCCCTTCCATCTTTTGACTGTTCCAGACCTTCACCGTGCCGTCATTTGAACAGGTTGCAAAGAGTGAGTGTTCATCAGAAACTCTAATTCGATTCACAGCAGACTTGTGTTCATGAAGATGTGCAACCAGCAACCCTTTGGGACGCCACCCTATGGAAAAGCAAACGAGTTGATCTTAAACTACAGCCTACAAATACAACCTCGCGTAGGAAAGAGGGAACCGATTACAAGGAACTATATGTGACCTCCTCCCTGGGGGACGGACAACAGAAAAGTGGGTGAAAGGAGACGTCGGACAGGGCAAGCTATGACAAAATAACAATTTATAAATTATCAAGGGCTCATGAGGGAGGGGGGAGCGGGGAGGGAGGGGAAAAATGAGGACCTAATGCCAGGGGTTTAAGTGGAGAGAAAATGTTTTGAGAATGATGTACAAATGCGCTTTACACAATTGATGTGTGTATGGATTGTGATAAGAGTTGTATGAGCCCCTAATAAAATGATTTTTTTAAAAAATACAACCTCGCCCATACCCGTGATGAGTTTGAGGGCTGTCATAAGAACGAGGCAATGTAAGGGCAGCTGGCCGATTCAGAGTGGCCTGCTGGATCATGACAGATACTATCTATTTATTAAGACACCCAAGATGGCCATCAGTGCAGCCCAACCAGCCTCGGAAAGACCACTCTTCAGGCACTCCTCCCAAAACTGCCGAGGCGGCGCAGCAAAAGCGGTCTACCCTTACACACCCCACCCAGTGACTCAGTCGGGTGAAGCGATGAGCACGCTGGCTAGGGAAACTGGTCTCCAGGAGCTCATCTGAGCTGGAAAGCCTCAGAGACCCAACTCCACTAGACCCTAAATGTGGGACTGAGGCCACGTACAAACATTCATGCAGCCTCAAGTTCCTCAAAGGCCAAAAGGAGGGGATGGCACGTAACCGAAACAGTGACTACACTGACCAATGAGGTGCACAAAAAGTCGGCATTGTCCCTAGTCCACAGTAAACCCCCAAATACCTTTCTCTAGCTGCAAACCTTCATGCTGTGGTGGCAACTTGGTAGCATCAATTGGTGTTATAAAAGACAGCTGCGGAATGGCTGTGGACTTGCTAAGATTTTATGACATCTATACCCTCTTCACCCTATTACACATCTTTCTATATATGATTCATTTACCCTCGAGGCCAGCGGGTCTTCCCATTCATAATGATTCAAAGTACCTAGCATAGGTCCCTGCACATAACTGTTTTCAATATTTGCTGAATAAAATGTTTTAAGTTAGAGTAAGTGTTAGATTTAATAATATTTTATATTAAACTATTTAATGCAACACAACGATCACACTATATTGGGAATTAGCACGGTGCCTAATTAAAGTGACAGAGAAATGTCATTTCCAAATTATTCCTTTTTACTAAGATACAAAAATGAATCACAAATATGGCCAGACCTGGCTTACCCTTAGAGAGAAAATAAACCACTTCCCCGAGCTCTACCTCAATGTGTACGAGAAGAAAAGCTGGAGTTGAATTTCTTTCAAGGAGGATCTGCTGGCTTTGAAAGTGATCAAAATCACTTTGCCATGAAGTCAAGAGAATATACCAGGCTGGGTTGAACATTTCCCCCTGAAGAAAATCAAATCTCACAAAACCATTCATGTGTGGACAGAAAACATCAAGTCTAACAGCCATTACACATTTCTTGAACCACAAAATGTGGCACTTTCTGTGATCACTGCATTAATACATACCTCCGCCTACATATAAAATGCCACTGACAGATTTGATCATAAAATAAATAGTATAGGGTTGTTTTTGTGTGTTTGCTTGTTTGTTTGTTTCTAAAGCAGAGCTGGTACGCAGCATGGCTTGGAATCCCAGACACAACTTACACATATGAAGAGACTTACTTTGGTAAAGAGGGAGGCCAAGTGGCATAGTGGCTATGAGCAGGCTCCTAACTAACCCCAAGGTCGGCGGTTACAGCCTGAGAAATAAACCCACAGGCCAATTCTGCCCTGTCCCGTAGGGTCGCCGAGTCAGAACTGACTCAGAGGCAGTGGGTTGGGTTGGGTTTTATTTTGGTTAAAAAAAAAAAAGCATGTGATTAGGTGTGCCGTTCACCCATTCGCATCAGCCTCAATCAGCACTTTCCCAAGTCCACGCCTGAAGGAGGCCATGGACAGCCACGTGGGTTTTCTTCCTCCGTGCATAAGCACATTGGGCATTTCTTTGAAGAGGGTTTTCAATTTATATCTTTACTATTAAAGTCAAATATGAGAAATCATCAAAAATAAAGTTCTCCACAAATTCTACAGCCACATTTTCATCTGAAACACTTCTAAATACTTGAAACATCTTCTCAGGTGTGTTTCACTAAAGTCTGAATGCTGATACGCAGTGGGTTATGAGATTGTAGGTGACTTTCCAATCTTTTCCAAAATAGCCAACTTTTTTTGTTACTGTTAAAGAAAATGAACCTGTGCATGTCAAAGTCTCCAGAAGCTAAAAGTGAGACAACATGCGTTTCCTCCAAGAGCCTTCCCCTCAACGAAGAAGGTGGCACCACTGCTGTCAGAGGTAAACCCAGTGCGCTTGAGGCAGTGCGTTACAGGCTCACGGCAGCACTGTAACTTGCCACTAGAGATAAGGATGCCCAAATGCCACCGAGAATGACCTAAGAGTTCTCACTCAGACTTCTTCCTCCGGCATCCTAACGACAGCTTAGGCCTGACTTCCTTCGTCTGGTAATGAAGGATCAGCTTCCTCCGTGTGACGCTAGGCTAGACTCAAACTACTATCCATCAGCACACTCTTACCAGGAGGCGGTGGTTTGCTCTCCCACTCAGCGTTTTCCATCATCTGCTTGGCGATGCGCTCGGCGTTGCACTGCTCCCGCTTCTGCTGCATGAGCTGCTGAAGGTCCGTCTTACATGCTGTGATCCGGATCTGGTAGGTGGACGGTAAAACCGTGCTGCTTAACACCTGTATGGTTGGCTTTCTACTTTGGACAGTAGTCGCTTCTGTAACCTGCAACAACACACAGAGCTGTAGGGGTTCATGTCACAGCAGAGAACAGTTGAAGGGGAAAATGTGCCCCCCGTTCCCTATTCACTGTAATAGCTTCTTGTGCATATTAATGCATCAATAATTTAAAATCCACTTTAATGCAGTGATGTGTTAAATGAAAACCTAGTCAAAATAGCTACAAATGAATACTATTTGTTAAAAATGATCAGCACAGCAATAACATTAAACAAAATAAAGTCTCATTCTTTTAATGAAAAGAACTAGTCATTTTAATTTATCAGCCTGGCTCAGTTAATATTTCTCATTTAAAATGACTGACTAGAGAAGAGAAACCTTAAATTACAAGCTTATTTTACACAAACCAAACAGATCATAACATTCATCACAAATAGCAACGTTGGGACTTTTTCCCCAGACAAAAGTAATGTTGCTGTTTCACAGATAAATCTGTGTGCCACTGGAGAAGGAAAAAAGGATTTAAAGGACCCACTGCAGCCATAATGTCTCTAGCCTCCAATTTCAGATCACTAAATCGGTCAGTACTCTAAAATGAGACCCGGTGGGTTATTTCAATAACTAGATTCTCTCTTAGTTATAAAACGAAAGGCGAACCTGTCTTATCAAGAATGTGTCCTTTCTAAAGGACAAGGTACAGTATTGATTGTTCCAGTACAGTACACAGCCTTTAAACACCCAAAACAGTAGAATGGAATTCAAAGACATGAGGGGTGTCTCCTAGGCCACCGTACCTGTGGAGAAGTTGACAAGGGGACACCAATGCCAGCAGAGGACTCGGATCGAGACGGCTTCCCAGTCTGAGTCACGTCCTGGTCACCCCCTTTAGGTGGGGCCTGTGGGATGTTCGCTGGTTCCAGGGACCCAAACATGCTTTTCCATTCTTCATTCACATTCGAGTCTTGTTTGACATGCTTTCTAGCTATGAAAATAGGTTCAGAGTAATTAATCTGAAGGTCTCTAAAATCAGAATGTGCCTTTACTGCTTTTCAGTGTGGGAGAGGAGCAACAATTGACTCCCTTTCATATGTGTTTCCTACGCTGTCTAACTTATTGATGCATCAGCAAATGACAAGACTTGAAACCAGTTCTAGAGAACTTGCTTTCCCCTCAGATACACTGAATCAGAAGCTACATTGATCAAGATCCCTAGGTGATCCTTACAGCAATGGGGCCCCCCACCAGGGGTGGGGGCGGGCAGTTCTACTCTGTCCTGTGGCGTTGCTTTAAGTCGGGATTGACTCGGTGGCAGTTGAGATTGAGTTTAGACCCACGTGACGACATTCTCAACTGCCTCCTGTGCATGTAAAAACTAAACAATAAATATGGAAAGTCAAGGAAGAATCAATGCCTTTACTGGTTATGGTAAGGAATACTGACTATACCATAGGCCACCAGAAGAAGAATTAAAAATAAAATCTATCTGGAAGAAGACCCTCAAAGAGATGGACTGATACAGCAATGGCTGCAACAACAGGCTCAAACATACCAGTGATTGCAGGAGAGCACAGGGCCTGCTAACCAGTGATTGCAGGAGAGCACAGGGCCTGCTAACCAGTGATTGCAGGGAGAGCACAGGGCCTGCTAACCAGTGATTGCAGGG